GCCCCCGCCCGCCGCGCCCTCTGCTCTGACCCCCTCTCCTCCAGCCTGCCCGCCAAGCTCATCAATGGCGGCATCGCCGGGCTCATCGGGGTCACCTGCGTGTTCCCCATCGACCTGGCCAAGACCAGGCTGCAGAACCAGCAGAACGGCCAGCGCATCTACACCAGCATGTGAGCCGGGCGGGCGGTGGGGGGCGGGGGGCGTGCGCGGGGACGGGCTCCGCGGGCCCTCACCCAGCTGCCCCGCCGCAGGTCCGACTGCCTGATCAAGACCATCCGCTCCGAGGGCTACTTCGGCATGTACCGCGGTGAGGCGCGGCGGGCAGCGGGCGGGCACCCCTGCCTTGGGCCATCCTGGCGCCGGGGCAGTGGGAAGGGCAGCCGCCAGGTCTGGGGGCAGGTGACAAGGGGTGGGGCTCTGGGGAGAGGCATCTCTCGGCCCCCGCCGGGGTCACCCCCACTGGCTGAAGGGGGGGCCACCGCGCAGCCTGGGCGCACCACAGCGGGCCAGGCGTGGCCCAGGGCTGCCCCGGGCAGCCCCGGGCGGGGCTGGGTGGAGGCAGGGAAGGTGCCGCCTGGCGGGACCTGCCCGCTACGTGGGCGAGGGAGCAGGAGCGGCCAGGAGCGAGCGGGAGAGGCCTGGGGCTTGGCTGCTGGCCGGGCCTGGCCGGAGCCTACTGCCCGGGCCACCCACCTGCCCACGTCCGGGTGCTGCCAGGAGCCGCCGTGAACCTGACCCTCGTCACCCCTGAGAAGGCCATCAAGCTGGCAGCCAACGACTTCTTCCGCCACCAGCTCTCCAAGGATGGGTGAGGGGCACTCGGCGGCGGGTGGGGTCTGAGTGGTGGGCAGGCAGGCAGGGGCTGTGTGCTCCCCAGGCCTCCCCCACCAGGCGGCTTCCTGCGCCCCGGCCTCCCGCCCACTGTGGGCCCCGCCTGTGACGCTGGGGCCGGCACCCTCGGCCCCAGACACCTGGCTGTCTCCTCCAGGCTGGGGGGGGCCCCACCGGAGTGGGGTGCCCTTCTGGGGACCTGAGATACAGGTTCCCACTTGTCTTCATGCACGCCACCAGGGCCCTGCTCGTGGGCCATCTTGTCAGGCCAGGCTGAAGCTGGGGGCTGCAGGGCTGTGGATGCTGGGGAACTTGTGCCCCGTCACACCTGGGCCCGGGACCCCCTGCGCTGGCTAGCCTGAGGATGCTGACACCCCTGCGCACCCCTCACTGCAGGCAGAAGCTGACGCTGCTCAAGGAGATGCTGGCGGGCTGCGGGGCAGGCACCTGCCAGGTGATCGTCACCACCCCCATGGAGATGCTCAAGATCCAGCTGCAGGACGCGGGGCGCATCGGTGCGGGCAGGGGCGCTGGGCAGGGCGGGCCAGGGGCGGGGGCGCTGGGCAGGGCTGCCCCCTCAGGAACAGGAGCCAGCCGCCCGTCCCTTTCCCCAGCTGCCCAGAGGAAGATTCTGGCCGCGCAGGCCCAGCTCTCTGCCCAGGGGGGCCCTCAGCCCACAGTGGAGCCCCTGGCCGCCCCCCGGCCCACAGCCACCCAGCTGGCCCGGGACCTGCTGCGGAGCCACGGCGTGGCAGGCCTCTACAAGGGCCTGGGCGCCACGCTGCTCAGGTGGGGGTGGGCGGCGGGGGCTGGGCAGGGGGCGCGGAGGGCGTGTGGGAGCCCGGGCCCCCTGCCCGCCGCTCACTGCCGGCCCCTCTGCAGGGATGTGCCCTTCTCCATCGTCTACTTCCCCCTCTTTGCCAACCTGAACCAGCTGGGCCAGCCCGCATCCGGGGAGAAGTCGCCCTTCTACGTGTCCTTCCTGGCCGGCTGCGTGGCCGGGAGCGCAGCTGCGGTGGCCGTGAACCCCTGTGACGGTCAGTGGGGGGGTGGGGGGCGGGCCCCGACGCCGTGCTGGCTCCCGCCTGACGCCCTGCCCTGCAGTGGTGAAGACCAGGCTGCAGTCGCTTCAGCGTGGCGTCAACGAGGACACCTACTCGGGGTTTCTGGACTGTGCCAGGTGGGTGCCGGGTGGGGACAGGGAGGCGCCAGGGGCGGCACCGGGCTGGGGCTACGCCCACGTGACCCCTTCCCCAACAGGAAGATTCTCCGCCACGAGGGCCCCTCCGCCTTCCTGAAGGGCGCCTACTGCCGCGCGCTGGTGATCGCCCCACTGTTCGGCATCGCCCAGGTGGTCTACTTCCTGGGCATCGCCGAGACCCTGCTGGGGCTGCTGCAGGACCCCCGGCCCTGAGCCCGCCGCCCCCTCTCCCCCAGCTCCGCGGGACCAGGTGCCGCCAGAGACGGCCCGGGCGCCTTTCCCCTCCCCACGGGGTGCCCGGGAGCCGGGGAAGGGAGGTGGGCCCCAGGGGCCTCCCGCCGCGTCCCTGGTGTCAGTGTGGTGTGTCCTAGACGGCGCAGAACCTCCACATTCCTGGAGCCAGCCCCCCAGCTCTGCCCGGCCGGACACTCCAGGACAGAGCTGGTCTCTGGGCTGGGGGCCCCAGCCCCGGCTGGGCGAGCTGGACCCTACTCCCCCACCCACCGGTTCTCGTCCCTGAGCCGTGGCCCCTCGTCCAGGGAGGCGCCCTACAGACCTATTTATTAACCCCCAGCACAGGCGGCGCTGCCTCCCCCCTCCCCCGCCAGCCGCCTGGGGGGCAGG